ACACACACACACACACACACACACACACACACACACACACACACACACATATACACACACACACACACACACACACATACAATTTTTGTTAAAATTTCACTTGGTACCTTGTTTTCCACTTCCTGACCAAAGAATCTATCATTAGTCTCAAACATTAGAGCAATGAACTATCTGAAGTGTTCTTCCCATCACTTTATAACAACACTAGAAACACTATCAAAGTTTTGCACATTTAATGTGTTCTGTTTTTCAGTTTTCCACTCCCTGAGCAAAGTGGCCATCATTCTATCTCTTGGCTCTATGATGAATTAGCTAAATTGTGGTCACCATGGCTTCCTAAAGATGCTAGAAATACTATTGAAAAGTAAGCTTCTTTTTTTTGTAACTTATGTCTTATTTCCCATTTTTCTAGTCTTTGAGGAAAAGAAATACTATCTTAACTTCTGCCTTAATGACAGCATACACAAATAAAGTATTGAAAATTTTATTTTCCATAAAATTAATTTCATAGGATTTAGGCACTAAGTGTCTTTAGATGTATAAATGAATAAAGTATGCTTATAGAGTAGCATGTTGTATCTTTATATTGTAAAGTTTTCCACATGACAAGTTTTGAAACATAGGCATATAGCAGGGTATGACAGGTAGGGACTTTTTTTCTGAAAACTAAGGGATCTTTTTGTTTATGCTAGTAAGCAAGTATAAGGCACTAACATGGTTTTATGTGTGTGAATTACATTTTATTCAAATACAAGAAATCAGAAGCATGAAACTAACTTGGATGATCTACTTGATGTACCAAGTTTATGAAAACAGTAATTTTTGATGTGTTCATTATTTCAGTAGAGTACATCTTTAAAAACTATATGATATTCTAAATACTAAATAAGTAACAGTACTACTAATAGTAACCATTAAAATTAGAAACCTTAGTTGAATGATGAGACTTAGGGTGATTTTACATTAGCCTGTCTTAGCCCCCTGACTATGAGCATGTATTGTGTTGTTTGTAGTACAAGTATTTAGTGATAAATATGCTATGTATGGTCACATAATGAATTGTTTGGTGTAGTGTGTGAACAAGATAAACAGAAAATTTTCATTATATATGAGAATTTTGAAACAGGGGTATTAAATAGCTAGTGAATAAATATGAATTGTTGGATAAACAGTGTGAAACCTTTCTTGCTTATTTAATGAGTTACTGTCTAAATATTATGACTGTTTAATGTTTTCTGAAAACTAAGATCTGAGACTGGCTAGGTTACAAACTCTTATCTTATCTAACCAACTAAACCAAATTGAGTTCAAATGTTGCAAGCCTCATATTACTCTGTCACTCTGTTAGGATAGAACTTGGCATAATTCTCAAGTTATGTGAATCAACTTTTCTAAATTCTTCCCAAATGTTACTGCTCAAACAGTTTGGAAATATGAAATTTTTTGTAAAAGCTATATCTATTATAAAATCACACGTGTTAGCGAATACTTTTACTTCAGTACAATTTAAGAAATGTCCAGTCAAGGAAACATTTTTTTTGGAAAAAGTGAAGAGCTAAGTTTTTCTTTTTCATTATTTGTTTTTATCATCAATTCATATTTTGAGCTTTCTTCTGTTTGCTGTCTGTTAACAGTTACAATTAGACCCAAGAATCCACTTAGTAAAACAACATTGATTTATCCAAAAGTTTCAATTCTTAAAGAATGGTATATTGTCAAATATTAGAAAAGCTATTGATAAGTGACACGTTCTCCTTCAGATAAATCATTTTCACTACACTGTCACAATAGTTTTGTGAATAGTGTATAGACAGCAACTGTGTGGTGTAGAAAGGCTGATTCTGCCACATTCTTTACAAGAACTTTTGTCAAATGTTGAAGTTTTCACCATGTACAAGTTTTTCTTTGTTGTGTTTTGTTTTTATTATCTCTGATCAATTTTTGAAATGTTTCGGGTTTGTTTTAATATCTTTGATTAAAAGTATTAAATTTTATCTATACTTTACTAATTTTTGACAGGATTTAAAGCATTATTGAGAAATACAAAAATGTAAATATTCAACATAAGAAAATTATTTTCCCTTCT